TCCATGAGAGGCATGGCAACATGGCCGCCGACCCAGACCGGTGCGAGAAACGTGGCTGTCCCGCCTGAGGGCAGAGGGAGCTGCCACCAGACTGATGTGCTTGCCGGTTTCGAGGTTCTGACTCCTGCTCTGTTTTCTGGCGGGAGGCCTGGCAGCACCTGGATTTCTCAACGTCTCTCTCCTCCGGGTGTGACTCTTCATGCTGGAGCCAAATTCTTTGCCTCTGAAACTCTTCTGTGCCCTGGCAGTCAGGTGCTGCTTCTGTGAGGCACTCAGAGTGTATGCTTCATCTTTGTGCAGGGGCAGTCGCACACCAGGTAATTTTAGAGTCAATCATTCTGCGCTTATGTTACTTAGGCCTCTGAAGGAGGCTGAGCAGAAATGGCGGTTGCCTTCTGCCACCGTGCAGCAAATGCTGTGCGGGACCTGGACATTACAGGTTAGTCACTGAATTCATCGTGGTGATTTTGTCACGAGTCTCGCCATGCTTACTTTGGGAGTGTTTTTTGCTCATTTGTTATGTTTTTCCTGAAGCCTCAGCTGTCAGCAGCAGTAGGTGATCAGTGATGATCTAACGGAAAATAAAATTGTGTGTTTAAATATAGAATGACTCTACATCTGACACAGGCAAGAAAATCACCCACATCGTACATATTGTAAATAATTGTATGATTTTAAACAAACCTCACGGTCAGTAAGTATTGCACGCACTTCTAAGTGACAAAAATATACACATCATTACTATCCTATGCTTACTCTGTCTATGTAGGCACAGTAGCCAGGGCTGACTAAAGAGGAGGTTTGTGTTTTATGATCCACCACAGCCACTAAACTTCTCAGAGCTGCTGAACACAGCAGTAAAGAAGCACCGGTTTGGTGTAGCTTGCTGTACGTACAGCAGCCCTAGTCCTGAGGAAGCATCAAGACGGAGATGCTCTCTCCCAGCATGCGTTGCTTATATTAAAAAAAAAAAAAAAAAAAAAAAAGATAATTGTAGTTTGGAACTAGCATGTGCCTCTCCATTTCCACAGCAAGAACTGTTAACAGGTGGATGTGCAAGGACATGTCATCAGCTAGTCCTCTGCTCTTGCAAGTCAGCAGCAATGGGGGGAAGAGCTGGAAGCAGGGGAAGAACCCTTCTTTAAGGAAAGAAGGACTATTTCAGATCAACATTTTTTTTTCCCCTTCAGTGCTGTGACCAGGAGGTCTCTTTTTCCTTTTTTATCTAAAACAATCAGGAAATTAGAGAAGGCTGTGACCTAGAACTATGTATCGCTAAAATGAAGCCTTTGCTTTCCAGCACTGCCAAGCTGGCATGTGTCATGAGTGCAAAATGTAATTTAAATATAATTAATTTAACAAATTCCTTTGCACATATGATGTTAAAATGACTTATAAAAAAATATTATCTCTTATCCAGCTTTTCCTGTCTGAATAGGTCACTTTTTTGATCACATTTATAGTTTCTACAGCTCTGGCAGCTGCCATTCATTTATTGCCTACTTTGTAATTTTTGATGGCTTCTGTTTGTTAGTTTTCAGACCAGTTTTTTCATAAAATTGCTGCTTTCCACCATGAAGATAAACGAATGAATTGCTTTTCTTGGTTGTGGAGAAAAAGTAAAACGTTAAACTGCAAAAATTTAAAAGACAAATATATCCTACAATTCTAAAGCCAAGTAATGTGTATCTCTGTGTGTACACAAGTGGGAAGTATATTTGTATGTGTGTACCTGTTTTGGTGGTTTTTTTTTGTCTCAGGAAGAATTGGATCCTTTTTCAATTAATGGAATAAGTAGTATCAGTTAAATAATCTCACCATCAGTTTCACCATTAGGGATGTTTTCAGGTCACTATTCAAGTCTTGTTTATTTATCAGAAAAAAAAATCTAAGGGAAAAAAATGGCAGAAGACCTCTGAAGTTGTCATTAAAGAAAGTTTTTTATATGGTATATTTCCCAACTGTCTCAGATTCCAGTGTCTAAATAAGTAAGTTAGGTCTGTGGGAGGCAAAAGAGGAGAAAAACGCTTAGGAAAGACATTTTTTTACAATACAACTGTAGAAAGATGCGATTTCAATCAAAAGTATCGCTTTGTACTACGTTCTCATGTTAATGACCTTACATTTGTAAGTTCTCAAATACTCCCATAGAGACAGATAGAAAGTATTTTTCACCTTGAAGGAACCTAAAGTACTTCAAAAACGCAGTGATGAGCATACCATGCATGTCTGGGAATCATTGCCTACACTGCTGGCACAGATCTTGCTGGAGGTGACAGAAGTCTAAGGGCGTGCAGTGTCTGTGACGTGGCACACTGCTACGGTGGAGGTAGCACACTAAAGCTGAACAGGGCCATTTGGTACGGAGCTAGATGAGGGCATCAACCCATTTACTCTCTGCTGCCACTTCTGTGGATCCTTCAGGGCACTCGGCAT